ATCAAGTGACCTAGGACGACGTCCTTAACCGGTAGTAAAAACCTAGAAGCTAGAAGAAGAAAATTAATATGAAGATATTTTAATTTCGGATAATGATAGAGAGGATGATTTTATGAGACAAAAACGAAAGACGATAAGTGGGGTAAGGTCAAATTGTAAGATATAAAATAATTAATTTGACTTTACTTCACTTACCGTCCTTCGTTTTTATCCTATAAAATCGTCTCCTCTATCATTATCTTTTAATTTCTATCCTCATTTTAAATGTGATGTTGGGGTCCCCTTGGACTTCATCCCTCTTATGTGGGCAACCTCGACTTGCGTTCCCAATTCAATTAGGACGATGTGCCCTTTAATAGGTCAAGATGCCGACATTCAAAATATAACAACATTTTCCCAAGAAATTTCTATTTTCTTGAGACAAATAAATCTGTTCTTCTTTATTATTATTTTTGTTCATGTTTTTTCTTTAGTCCTAATGTGAAATTAAACTGCGTCAAGAAATTGTTTTGTTAAATAAAAAAGTACCAAGGAATTTAATTAGGTCAATAATATATTTTTTTTTAAAAAACCCCTACATGCTCAGTTTATGGTTAAAAATAAACTTAAAAATACTAAGCATTTTAATATCTAATTACATATTAATTTAATTTAAGTATAAAATAAAAAAGTCAACGACCTAAATAATTCAGTAATTATTTCTTCTTTTTTTTTTTTAGTAAGAAGTCCTGAATTCGAGTCATATGACATGTGGATGAAATAAAATAAATGATGAGAGGTAGTTGCCTCGTATTGTGTAATTAAGATAAAAAAAAAATGTATAAAACAAGAAGGGAAACACTAATTTCTATATAACTATTATTTCAATAATTGATATCCCTTTTCAATTTGCTTCTGTAAGACTAATATCACTGCCTGGCCATCATCTAAAACAGAAGGAAATTAAAAAAAAAAAAACTAAAAGAAAATTAATAAATACTACTATTGGTAAATGTGTTTTAATTTATTTATTTTTTTAAAAAGGGGTCTGATCTGACCATAATAATATTAACATAAAGTAACACTAAAAATGTAAAAAGTAGTTGGCTTCCTGTTCCTTGTTCAAAATAAGTTGCACCAAATGGTTGGTCTTGGTACATGCTCTCCTCTCACCAAAATTCTGCTATTGTAAAATAAAACCATATTCTCTCTAGATGTTCTCCACCAATTATCATTCTATTATTATTCTCTTTCCTTTTTTTTATTTTTTGTTTAATTTCCCATGTATAAACAATAATTT